TCCTAATAGTAGTTCTTAAGAAAACTCTGATGTTTTTGCTGTTAGAGCTTCCACACAGGTTGTCCTAATCCAAGTGATCAGCCCTGGACACATGTACAATACAAGCAAGGATAAATGAACTCAGTAGGGGTGTGGGTGTGTGTGGGGGGGGTGTTGACCTAGACTATATATAAAGTATATGTACATACATACAACAACAATTAAAGAACATGAATTTGTGAGGGATGGAGCATGGGAAGAGCTGTATCAGGATGGGAAGGGTGGAAGTGATATATAGTGCTTACGTATAAAGTTCCCCAAAGCGATTAAGAAAAGAAATCATACAATAAATAATTAGAGAGTGAATTTGAACTTCAATCTGAGTTTGAGGTAAAGATGTTTGTCACTACACTCTTTTGACTGTCTTGTATCGCTGATTATTTCATAGGTGATGTAGGTACTGATTAGTCACTGACTCTGTGATGCTAAATTACACATTCCTTGTATATGGGGGCATGGTCATCATCATTCTCTACCCCAGGGTAGAGCATGGCTAACAGTAAGTATTCCATGGTCAGAATGATTTAAATATCAATACAACCATGTTTATATTTATTTTATGTATTCATTCACATAGACAGTTTGGTTTTTTTTGTTTGTTTGTTTTTGTTTTTTTGTTGTTGTTTTTTTCAGTAGTTGAGTACATAGGTCTGGAGTGGGTGTTGGCTAAATAAGCAGTCTATTTGAGACAGTGATACAACCTGAGGGAAAAGAATAAGTAACAGCAACCTGGTCTCGAGAAGCCAGCGAAGGCTCCCTGAGGGAGAGAGAATTTGATGTTGTGAGTGGAGATGTGAGTGAAGGCTTGTGCAACCGGAGTGAAGAAGTCATTCCAGATGAAGGTTCAGTCCTATGCAAGACCAGGATTAAATGAAGACTGATACAAGCGAGAAAACATACATAGCTCAACACAATTAGGAGATGGAATGTGATGCAAAAGATGACTATTGTGAAAGGATTGTGTTCTGTTAAGACTTTGTCCTTAAGAAAGATAGTTAATGAGAATATGTAGTTAGCTGGCGGCGGGATCTGATTATTAATTTAGAAAGTGCTTCCTGGCTTCTATGTGGGAAGTAACTGAAGGGACATAGGACATCATTTGGGAGCTTACTGCTGATTCCTGGCTAAAAATGATGATGAGCTGCTCTACAGAGGGTAGGATTGGTGAGAAAATAATAGAATTTAGGCCCCAATTAATTTGAGGGGTAATAGAGAAAATTGCTAACGGTGAGTCTTGGTTTAGGGGGCTTGAGGAAAAGGACAATCAGCAAAGTCAAAGAATGCTCTCTTGAAGGCAGGTGCAGGATTATCTTGAAGAGGACTTGGGGGTGAGTTGCTTCTTAGGCATTTAAAGCCTATAGTCATGATCCTCATTTCACCATTATCAGTCACCATGCCCTGCTGTTTCTTTATAGCATCATCATTTTCAGAGTCATATTCATCACTGATTTCTTCTCCTTATCCAGCCCTCTAGTTGACAAGGCTTCTGTATATCTATATTTGAGACAGTACCTTGCTGTATAACCCAGGCTTGCCTGGAGCTTAGGACCCTGAGTGCTGGAATTACAGACATATGCCCCTACGCCTGACTCAGCAAGGCCTTTTCCCCTAATGGTGTCTCTTGATTCATCTTGTTCTTCCATTTGCTCAGTGATAACTCTATTGGGTAGCTTCCCATCCTTACATGTCTAAACTCCTCCCCAGGTAGCAGTTCCCTTACTTTCCTCTTTACCTATAGTTTGCATGCAATGTTTCTGACACACAAAATGGCAGTGGCTTTATTTAAACATTTCTACCCCCTGCCTCTCTCAGTCTAAATGTGTTCATGACCTCTTCTCCAGTCAAATGAGTGACATCACTCTGTCCTATCCTTGTGCCATATGTATTTCTTATCATTTTATCACTTATCACTTCATCCTCCTCTCCTCAGTTCAGATGGTAGTTGCTATGAACTTTCCACAGCTACCTTCAGAAATCAAGACTTCTGTCTCTCTAGTCCAGAGATCCCCTGGATATAATACCATTTTGACTTGCTTTCTTGTTTTCTCTGTGTTTTATCTACATATCCAAGTAGTACGCTCTTTAAAGCTAAGACAAGAGGCTACTTCCCAAGCTTGTGATACATATGCAGAATGAGGAAACTAGATTGGGATCAGCTCACAGTTCATGGTGGCATTTCTCCTGGCTATAGGAGGATACTGGCTGTACCAATCTGGGTATTTGCTTATTGCATCTGGGACACCCTCCGGGGCTATAACCACCACTGTATCAGTTACCAAGGTCACGTCCTGCTTCCTACCATCACACATCATTGTTGTTCATCATGCTGAGAAGGCTGAGAGAGTCTTCTATATTAGGCAGGCATGCTAGAAGCCATTTGTCCTACAGAACCTGGTGGAAGCCCTTGTTTCCAGCCTGACAGCTCCCATCCTCTTGGTTATTTTCCCTTTGCAACACAGCCTGACTTTTCTGTAAATTAGCACTTCTTTATAGAAGCCATACTTTCATACCAAGGTTCATTTCAAGTCCTGTGTATTTCTGGCAAAAAAAAAATCTCTTCTTTATTATTCTTCCTACCCCATCGAGGACTAGCTGTCTGCCCTATATTAGTGCAGTTCCCAGGGTGGATGTGCATGCAAAGCAAGAGATGGAGCATCTGAGAGTGACCTCGACAGACCAAAAGGAGTTCATCTGAAGGTAACCTGTGCTCTTATAGTCTTTCACAAAAGAGGACTTTCTTCCACATTTAGGTGATCGTGCCCTCAATTATTTGTTGCTTCCCGCACAGCCCCAAATTGTCTCTCCTAAGAAGGATGCTTTATATAGACAGCACCACCAGGACATCTTTGCCTAGCAATCCTTATGACTCTAGGGTATAGTGGGCCACAGGAAAGAGACCAGAATGGGAAGAAGGGGGGGGGGCGCTCAGGGCTTCTGCTCCTATTGTCTTGCTGCCTTCTAGCTGCCTTAACAGAGTTGACCCTCTATAGCAAAAGCCACCCCTCCATCACTCCAGTTCTCTGCCTAGCCAATTTCCCAAGGTCAGTAATGGTAACAGGCTCTACTTTTGCTACTCCAGAGCACTTAGGCATGCCTGGATGTTCTCTTCGCCCTGGCCATTGAACTCCCTTTGTTACGTTTTTCAGCGTGCCCTCGATCTTCTACATGGATTCTAATTAATGCAATGCCCATTCGGAGAGAGCCCAGACTTAACTTACCTCTTCAATGACAGAAGTGCATTCCCATGGCTTTCCTTCCCATGGTACTATACAGAATGACTGACTACCACAAAAATCACTTATAACCCTAGATTACAAAAGATAAAAAGGAGCCAGACTCAGTACTTGTGTGTTACTTTTGAAAATCCATGCTTCCAGACATGAACCCTGTTACCGAAGGTGTTCTGAATCTTTTTTTTTTTTCTTTAATGTGTGCTTTGAGCTTGACCCTTCTCCTCACAGGAGTTCCCAATTAACAATGAAGGATTGAGACCATGTTATCTTATTCCCAGCATGGAAGTACACTGGATAGACTATGCCTGACTAAATCACCGGGAAATGACTCTGACCTTACACCTGTAGGATGCCACCTGAAATCTTTTTTTGTGCATCAGCCAGGTTGTCACTAGTGGATGTGACAAGTGTTCTATGAGGATTTACGCTCCAGTGCCGCTGCTCTCAGGGTAACTTGGAGATACTTGCAGTTCTTCCTTCCTTCTACTTGACAAGGACAGTGTTCATGCTCTGAACAGGTCAAGCTATTAGTCACCAGACTGCATCAGAGAGAAACTTTAAAACAGGAGCCTGAATAGAGTTCACCATTCTTTGGAGGCCTTGGGTGAACTGGGTTTTAATACTTTGGTCTTCCTAGATCGTGGTCCTGAAAGAAATTTCCAGACTATTTCTAAGTTATCGTAGCTGGTTATTTTCTCTGCCAGTCTGAAAATCCACACTCGACTCCTTCCTTCTTCATGATTTCCCCCAATGAAAACAGTCATTCTTTCTCTCAGTCTCTTGGGGAAGGATGTTTTTCATCCAAATGTTAAGGTTCCAGGGTCCAGAAGGGCCAGCAAATGCAAACCTGAAATGAATGTCTCCGAAGCAGGAGCCCAGCCCTGGTCCTGTCACACATGCGTAAAACAAATGGTCCAGTGGAAGCATCACGTAAATCACTCAGTAGAGAGTGCCAAAAATTTCACTGCATTCCTTCCCGAATTCAAAACCCAAATAGCCTAGCACTCTAAACCCTCACCTAGAAACTGGGGAGGGAAAACGAGCTGTGAATAACGATGGGGGAAGTGTGAGGGGTAGTGGGACCTGAAGGGACCACCTGCTAATCTACATTCACACAGTATTTTGTATCCAGCTATGAATCAAAATTCTCGAGCTCGGTTTATGGCTTGAAAGGCCCTAAAGTCCTGTTACCATCCTCACTGTTAGTTTCCAGTAATAGAGCCAAGACTTGTACAAGCTTTTATGCTTCTTAAAGGATGTTGATCTACCTGGGTTCTATCTTATTCGGGGGATCGGTGTAGATGGGTTTCAGGTGCCAGATATATGGGTCGTATAGTACATTACAGGCTTTGGTTTCTTGAGTCACTGTATGCCTAGGGGGAAGATAAATGTCATGTCATATATGTCTAAGGAAAGTCACTTTAACACATTTTTAAGTAAATATGCTCTTTTCCAAAAACATGGTTTTGTTTTGTTTTTTTAACTCTTCAAAACAACCTTTATTGGTGTTTATAAGAAATCATTTTTGTTGGGAGGACAAACAGCCTGCCCTTTCAAGTGAAGGAAGTCAGTTGAGTTAGATCTGAAACACTCCTAATGATTGGGAAGAAAGATGGGTTTCCTTCCAAGGGTCCAGCTATAACAGCAGCACCATGCAATAGATCACGTGTGTATAGCATCTTATCTTGTACCGAAATGTAAGGTTCAGTTCAGTATTTTATGTTTCAGAGTTTTATGACTGTTATGACAAAGTGTCACAAGCTGGTTGGCTTCAGACAGTAGAAATTGATGGTGTCACAGTTCTGGAGAGGAGAAATATAAAATCAGGATGTCATCAGGGAAGAGAGTGGTATCAACAGAGTGGCAGAAGCAGGAGACGCCAATCTTCATCTCTCTCCAGAAAACAAAAGGTAGCAGTCTGCAAATAAATATGGCCTTGGGAGGGTCCATTTAAAAAAAAAAAAAAAGGCAACACAAAGTGAGCAAACTCCCAAATAGCCACATACAAAGGACTGCTGGGGAGATGCTAAGATGTCTGGGGATGGCTAGGAACCAAGAAGGAAGAGGCTATCAGCCACATAGAGGGTGCCACCATGGTCCCCAGTGGTTTGCTTCTGCAGCAGATAACATCAGCGTCTTTTGCCAACGATGTCATAAAATGCATCTTTGCCACCAACTTCAATGAGAAAGATGCTGATGCATAAGTTCCAGGAAGGCACTGCCAGAGCAATGCCCTGGGATGGGATCTCCACACCTCCTCCCAAATCTGCATGTGTTCTAGATGCTGCAGCTGTAACCAGGTAGCTTGTGCTGTTACTCCAGGGCACAGATTCAAAGTTGCTCTATATGTGCCCATGTACCACACTCTGGATTTGTAATCACACTCTGTGTATCCACTCCTCTAACCCTAGAATTTCTTCTGTAGGCAGTTTGTGGAGTCCTGGTTGCTCGATGCACACTGTTTTGCAGCTCTTAGCTTTGAAACTGCCCTATAAGTGCCTGTGCCTTAGACTTCTGAGATGACAGTCAGCTTATTGTGGGGTGTAAAAGTTTACACCCCATAATAGAGATTAAATGTCAACATGAGCTTCAGAGAGAAAATGTCACATTCAAACCATGGCATGAAATGATTTTTTGATAGCCATATATTTTTAAAAGAATATCTTTCATTGTCTCAAAATATATAGAATGACCATCTCAGAATTATCATAGACTAAATACAAGCATAAGTAATAAAATTTCTAGAGGATGAAAATTCTATTATTAGGTTTTGGCAAGGCTTCTGAAATAGAACACACATACACACACACACACACACACACACACACTCTCTCTCTCTCTCACACACACACACACACACACACACACACACACACATTGCCTTATAAAGGAAATTACCAATAGGATTTACCAAAATTATATTTTTTTTCCTTTCTAAGAGACATTGCGAAGGATGAACAGACAGCCCATGAAGTGTAAAAAAAAAGTGTTCACAATGGATACACTCAACAAAGGACTCACATTCAGAATATATAAGGAAGCAAAGAACCCAGCTGGGCATGGTGTGGTGTCTGCCGAGAACTCCAGCACTTGGGAGGGTAAGACAGTTCACCCTTAGTTCTATGGTGAGTTTGAGAGCAGCGTGAACTATGTGACACCCTGTCTCAAATACACCACCAAAGGAAAGGAGGAAGGAAGAGAAGGAGAGGGAATCCAATCAAAACAGACAATCAGGTCGAACAGACACCTCAATAGTGAAGGTAAGTGATGGCTGGAAATACATGAAGCACGTTATTCATCAGCAAAGTGGGAATTAAAATTATAATGATAAGCTAGTGACTATCCATTAGGGTGACCATAATTAAAATGATGGGAATTACAAAATGTTAATGAGGCTGTTAGGCAACAGGAGCCCTGCTGGAAAGGAATATGGCATAATCACTTAGAAGAGAAGCTTTTGGTTTCTTAAAAAAGTTAAAAACATATGATCCAGACATTCCATTCTAAGTGTTTATACAAGGGAAACAGAAACATATGTTCATGCAATGACTTGTACACAAATATTTATATTAGCTTCATGCGCAATAACAGAACCTGGAAACACTCCATAGCAGTTTTATGCACAATTAGCAAAAATTGGAAGTAGACCAGATGCTCCAACAGGTAATAGATAAATAGTGGAATATTATTAGACAAAAAAAAAAAGAAAAGAAACAAACATCTAGCATATAGAACAAAATGAACTACCACCAAGATCATTTCGTGTTTGTTCCAAGAACCCTGAAGTGAAGACTGCGGTCCCGTTTCTATACAAGCCCAGTCACTATGATAAGGTTCTAACAGGAAAGCTGTTCTGTGACTCAAAGCAAAGGCGCCAATGGCAATAGAGAGGAGTCAAGAAAATATAAACTCCCGGGGGGTTAAAAATAGTCTTTATTTTGCTGGAGCAGTGATCTCATAGACACATGCAGAGCTGTGCATATTCAGTGAACGCAGCAAATTACTCGCCAGTAATACTTCACTGAAGCTGAGTTTGAAACAAAGTAACCAACTGTTGTGAGTTCACAAAGTAATCTCTGGAATTTGGACCCAAGGTTTTTTAAATAACACAAATTCCCTTCCCGGGCTCATGTAAGGGGAGATCTATCCCTATCTGTTTTCCTTTCCCTTCTGTGCTGCGTTTCATTTCACCTTCCCTGTCCTCCCCTTCTCTCCTCCTCCTCTCTCCTCCCCCTTCCCTTCCAAGTCCCATGCCACCTGCTGTTCTAAGCTTCAAACAATGGCAGGCAAAAAAGAACTTCTAACTAGTGCATCATCCCCAGGTTTTGCTACAGCAGCAAGCATCTGTATCCGGGCTCTATGTGTCTTTTTTCTCGAAGCAGCCTAAGGTGGCTGATCTTCATTAACTACTTGACTGGATTTGGAAGCCCACAGAGCAGTGAGGCATACCTCTGGTATGTCTGGGAGGGCATGTCTACAGAGGGGTGACTGGGACCAGAAGACCCCCCCCAATGTAGGCAGTACTGCTTCATGGGCTGAGGCCCACATGGAAGGAGAGGGCAAGGACATCAGCATTCCCCTTCACTCTGCTTTCTTATAGGTCAACTGCTCTCCTCTGCCTTGAGCTCCTCCACCATGATATACTTCCAATGATCAAGTTAAGTAACCATGCATTGAACCCTCTGAAATGGTGAGCAAAATAAATCTATATTCCTTTGTTTCTGTCAGTTATATTGTCGAAATGAGGCAAAAGTAACTGTCCCAGAGCACTGTATGTAGAAGAGCTTTACTGAGAGCCAGAGAAGGACAAGTATTAATAACCATGTAACTGGTTTTGTTCAGTTGGTTTTTTGAAAGGGTGTATTACGTAGCCCAGGCTGCTCTCCCATCATCTCCACCTCCCATATACTGGGATCATAGGTGTGTATTGCCTTGCTCATTTCCTTAAATTTAATGACTTTTCTCTTGGTGAAGAATCCTGATCCTGTAATTTCTTATGATCCTAAAGTCAGTCACAGTAAGTTTTCCTGATTCCCCAAAGGTTCTTTCAGCAACCGGAAATTTTTCTATCAACATAATTTATATATACCCAGTGGTATTTTGACCACGGTGTGCTCTAGGGTTTGAGTTCTGCTGCTCTTAAGTCTCATCCATAGTGGCTGACTCAGAGAAAGGGCACCTCAGTGGGATTAATCTCTGCCTCTCGCTGAAGGGTAATAGGTACTGTTTATAAATTAAAGCACTGGAAAATTTAAATGTTATTGAATATGATTCTAGCATATTTAATTCCTACCAGTTCTCCTGTTTAAGAAGTGTAATGAGAAAGTCTCCAGATAATATTGTCAGGTTTTCTAGAAGCATTACAAATCAGAGGCTGCCTGCATAGCTATATTAAATTAAAAATTGTTTCATCATATATACACACATAAAACTCCATTAGGGAACACTGTGAGATGTTTGCATTATATGGATAATGTATGATCCAGAAATGCATAGAAGATATCAGAGAAAAACCCTGAATAGAAATGATATAAGCACAGATCAAATTCTTAACCAGGTATACTCTGAGTATACATGGAGTTTATATGATGGTGGATGCCTATAATCCCAACACCCAGGAGGTACAGGCAGAAAGTTCAAGAGTTCAAGGCCAATACTGACCATAAAGTGAGTTTGAGGCCAGCTTGAGCTTTGAGACTCTACCTCAGGAGAACAAAACAGAACGTGGAGAATGAGACACAAGACTTAGAATTTAGAGAAGACCATTGATGCAGAAAGAGTTAAGCTAGCAAAGCCTTTTACCATAATTCTCAAGAGATTTGATATGGCTTACTTTAAGCTACACAGAAAAAGGAAGCTGGTTGTCTACAAAGCCCTTATTATAATAGGAAAGCCAGCCCTATGGTTTCCATTTCTTAAATGGCAGAGATTTGCTCCCAATATGTAAAGAGCAAAGAGAATGATTCACACACCATTTGAGAAGCTTGGTGATAAAGAGGTAGGAAAGTAAGAGCAAAAGATACCTTTGGAAGAATGGCGAGGTATTGAATGGGCTCAAGGGATATGACCTAGCAGTCAAGACATGTTGGACTGAATGATCCTTACAGTTCTTTCACATAGGAATCCTGGTTATGTTTTTAATGGACAGACTAAGGACTTCTCTAAGGATGTCTAACAAACTGGTCTATACCAGCTGTTTATGCTAAAGATTCATTTAGAATCTGTATGTGTCTTTACAAGAGCAACCCTGGAGTGGTCATTGAAAATCTTTCCATGTTTCCAAGATTTTGAGTTAACCTCTTCCTGGCTTCACAAGGCAGGAAGGGAACTGTCCCTTCAGTTCCGCATACCAACATGACCCCTTCACAAACCACACAGGGAGCCTAATTTCTACATTCTCAAGGATCTATGCCTCAGACCAGAGGGAATTTCCTCCCAAGAGAATTACTAGGAAACTCATGACCAGACTGAATTATCTACCTTCACTTGCCACCAATGGCAAGGACTGGCAGGCCTGCCCTGTGGCTGCCTGGTTTGTGATAGTAGGAAACGCTAGAGAGCTTGGGTGATTTGGTGGTGGTACCCTGCCCAGCTCTGAATTCACACAGAATTTGTCACAGCCAAGAGATGGGGAACAGCAGAAATCCTGGGAGTGGTAAACAGATCTCCCAGCCAGAGAATCATCACTGGGAGTTTTCCTCTGAGTCAGGTTAGATTTTAAAATACATTTTTCTGAGTAAAGGTTAGTTTAAAATTACATTCCTGGAGGGGTGTGCTGTGCTTTTTAAACACTCTTGTAATCTGAAGCTATCTCTTTGGGGTAACAAAACTGAAATCTAAGCTCTTAGCTTCAGATTTTTTTAATTTAAACCAACAGCATACTTTTTAAATATCCCCTGTAATTATTGGTCCTATTGAAAAACACATTTCTCACAGGCTCTTTGCACATCATTAACTGTGGAAAAATACAGACTTTTTTTTTAAGTGAGCAAGATTTTTTAAAGGCCTTTGCCCTGACTGGTAACTTACAGAACAAGTGGCTGAGACCTTGTGGTTATTTGGACGTTTATGAGTCCAAGTAAAGAATGGAAACATCAGTATTTGTTCTGATTTCTTTCATTTCTGGTGGCACTTCCCATCCTATGTTGCAATTTGCAATTCTGTTTCATTCTGATGTTGTCTAAAAGCATGTTTACAGTTTTCAGCCAACAAGCATTGAATATATAATGATACATAATTTTTGAACACATGATCAAGTGACTTATCTACCATAAACTAACAAATTAGAATTAAAACACACATCTAGAAAGAGAATTTTCATGCAGCATTTTTTTTAATTCTAATGTTCACCTTTAAATTCTTCCTTCCACAATTTTTTCTAGAGCTGACTCAAGTCCATCACTCTGATTTTTTCATCATCCTCTAAGTTGGACTTCCTCCACATCCAACTCTTCGCTTCCAGTGACTGCTGCAAACCCTCCTGGGGACAACATGGTTCCTCAAGAGCAAACATACAGCTCAAGATAGCCGGTCCATTCCATGCTATATTTTGAGTTTACTGGGTTCAGATAGGAATGCTCAAAAGTCATGTGTCTTCTCAGGCTGGCCCTTCTTCCATCGAAGGACCAAAGAAGGATCTGCTCTCATTTCCTAGGGGTGTGTAGTAGGCACTGCTAACTCCTATGTAGCCAGAGACTTCTTCATTGTTCTATCATTATCACCCAAAGGAGGAAGGAAAGTTTGACCACTCTCCCTGACAGTAATTAAAGAGTGACCTACCATGTTTGGAATGTACAATAGCATGAACTGCAAAGAATGTGTCTCTCCTTGCCAGGGGCAACAAAAAGTAGACAACTCATTCTTAATAACTCTGATTGGCTATCTTACTAATAATCATGAGCTCTTTTTGGGGTCTAAGAATCAGGTTTAAAAATTCAACCTGAAGCAGAAATTCTGTTTCAGAAGACAAAGATACAGCTTAAGAGAGATGGGGGTCGGGGGGTGGGGGGGGTGGAATCTATCAAGTATTTGCCAAACATCTACATATGTTCCCATACAGACATAATCTTTGGCAAAACTACTTCTGTTGGTAATGTCCATTAGATTATATGACCCTGAATGAACAGCCTAAAAAAAAAATTAACTCAATAAGTTGTTTTGAGATTAAATAAGTCCAAGATGTCAGACATACAACATTGTGCCTAGCATACTAAAGCTGTTCACTAGTTTCCCTCCACATGTGGCACTGTAGACATATTTGGTATGCCACTTGGAATTTCATATAAGCTTTCGGGAATATGTTTGACTACTTGTGTTTTCTGAGTGCTTTGAAAGAGCATACATACCCTGTTACGTGATAAACAAAGGCATGTCAAATCATGTGACAATCAAGTCAAAGATGTTTCATAGGTCATGAGGCTAATTAAGCATTCCACACTGCAGCACATTGCCCTCCTTTCCCTGATCACAGAAGCTGGAGCTGAAACCAAGCATGTGGCACACCTGAGCAGTCATTGCTATCAAAAGAAAGTTACTGTTTCTATTTCCTTTCTACTAATGGTGTACATAAGAAGGCAAAAACATTGGGATGAATCCTAAAAGGGGACAAGCCTCCCCATGAAATTATTGTACCAGCTTTTTTTTTTTTTTTTTCATTTCTGTGTGTGTGCCTCCTGTGCCTTACTCTTTGTATGTTTGTGTGTCCCGGTACATGTGGAAGCTAGAGGACCACCCTCAGGTGTTATTCCTCAAGTGCCATACACATTGCTTCTTAGAACAGGGTCTCTCACTGGCCTGAGATTCACATGGTAGGCTAGCCTGGCTAGCCAACAAGCCCCGGGGATCCACCTGTCTCCACCTGCCAGTGATAGAATCACAAATGTGTACCACCTCACCTGGCTATCTCACGTAGGTTCTGAGGGCTGAATGCAAGTCTTTTTCCATGCCAGCTGAGCCATCTTCCCAGCTCCGATGGATGCCCTATTCTGGATGAAGATTCTTCACAGTTTCCTCTTCTTATCTCTAAGCACTCTGAAAAAAAAAATGTTAGCATGGCAAAAGACTATGTTAAGGTTGACGTGGCTCTCTCCCTATTTTTGGTGAGAGTCCCATGTGCAAAGTCCTTCAAAAGAATTATACCTTCCCCCAAGAGGAGGAAAGAAAAACAGAAATATTCCTCACTTTTTTTTACAGTGCTCCATCAGCTAAGAATCAATCATCATGGTTGGTACTCTTCATCAAAAAGGGAATTCCTTCCTTAAATATGGCAGCTGTGACACCCATGGTTCTCACAACCATTTCCCTATGCTTCTTCCAAAACTTACTGACACTGCCTCCTACAGCAACAGACAGAAACATTTGACACCTCTATTGCAGCCTCTCTTTGGTGAGGGTGTGGCCATGTAATATGGTTCACCTAATGATTTCTAGGAGTCCATTAGGAAAAAAATGCCTCGGAAAGACATGTCTTCTTCTCAGAAAGACAGGTTACCTATAAGATGTGTCTGTCTTTTATTTGAAAACATATATAAGAATGCATAATCTAGCCATTTCAGAACAAAAAAATGAAAAACTCCAAAAACTGAAATCAACATCTTGAAGATGTCCCCACAGAACAATAAAGGAGTCTTTTATGATTCCTTTGCTGCAGGCCTTCTGTTGAGTAAGCCCTATACTTCCTTTTGGTTTAATATATTTTAACTGAGATCCCCTTACAGCATGAAGCAACTCATGATGTAACAGTTGCAGCCAGATGATAAATACAAGTTTCAGTTAAGACTGATAAAGATCGGGGGAAAGGAAATAGGGAAAACTATTGAAACACATACCCCACAACTTTACACTCTTTATTAAAATTCCTACCATAGAGGCTGGATCATTGTTTCTACAAATAAATGTCAACTTCCTAATATGCCTAGGGTTGTCAGATAAATCCTTGGTATATATTCACACTAATATTTTATTCATGATTTATCAAAAATCCAAATTTAACTTGCCCATTCAGAATTCCTATTTCATAGGCCTGACAACTTTAGTAAAGTCCTGTCCTATGATAAGCTTTCAGGATATAACCATTCCTTACTTCAAGGACCTAATCACCTTCAAAGCCCCTTGTGATCCCACTCTACAGACTTGGTGGAAATCTTCTGCCTCTGAGACCTCAAAGACTTTGAGGCGACTATATCTCGTCTGACTGAGGAAACCAGAGCCTGAGTTGGTCATGATTTTCCCAAAGGCAAAACTGGGGCTATTTCCCACATTCAGGCTCTTCCAAGTCTCCATCTCTCCAGATGCTACCTTCTGCTCCTGGAGCCTCTTTAAAGATGAAATGGGATTTCAAATAATATTGTTTGGTTTGGTTTTTTTTTTTTTTTTTTTAAAAAAAAAAGAGGGGGACTTATAAATACTCCAATTTCTAATTTGGCAAGGAAGATAATCATAGTTTAGTCAGTTAAGTTTATGTTGGAAGAGCATTTTGAATGAAAAATAATTATTCCCCAAATCTTGTCCAAATCCACAGACACAGTTTAAAAAGAAAATTATAGAAAAACTCTTACATGAAGGCTACATATATGTGTCATATGATATGGAGATTACTATATTTAGCTTGTTTGGTATATAGCTCAGAGTTACATCAGGGCTTGTTATAAATGAATATTTTGAAGGTGACCTGCCTTTTATTCTTCTGAGCTATCCTTTAATATTCTGATGGTGACTAATACTCTCAGCCCGTGATAACAGCTTCACTGGAAATCTAAAAGCAGCGATGGTGGTGATTCACTACTGAAGGATTCGTGAAAGCAGACACCAGAGGCTTTCCTCCTAGCTTCCTCTAGAAGCTGCTATACATTTCCAAGTCAAGGACATCAGTAGAGAAGACACGGAATTTTATCTGTAAAGTTTTCCTTTTGACCTGTGTAAGTCTCTAGTCTTGCAATATTGGTCCAAATCACATAATTCTAGCATTGGAGAAGATAGAGACCGGATTGAGTCAATTCCCCATTCCTGGCTCTAGTGTAATATGGAATTCCTTTCAGTCCTTTCTCATGTTTACTTTAAGCCAAATCCCATTATCAAAAATGAAATCAATTTCACTTTAGTAAAATTAATCCATATTTTAGATTATATAGAGCATTAGATTATTTAAGAAAATAGCATGAAATTACAGATTCGGTATCAGTAGTATAAATTCAAGTGATCATTGGAATTTCTTATAACAGAAATTGACTCAAAAACCCAGCTCTTAGATCTGGGCATCCTCAAGTAGATATATCCAGATATGATATGCCGAGTCCTTCCAAAGTCCACCAAGTTGAGTGTGTAAGTGGTCATATTTTGTCCCTTTAATGGGAGGACACACACATTACCAAATCACAACCAACAGCTCTCCAACTCAATCTGCCCTCATCACAGTCAGGAAAAGTGAGAAAAATGAAACTCCTAGATTTAAAAAAAAAAAAAAAAAGGTTTGAGCACTGTAGTGTTCACTTTTCCAATTTTTCAGATATCTAAAGTAATTCTTTGTTCCCTCTGAGTTACCTGCCTTTGCCCTGTTTACAAAAGTCAAACCTGTTCTCCAAGAAGATTTGTCACTTCTTAGAAGAGATGTTATTTGAGAGCACATTCTCTGTTATGCTGGATGATTTTTTTTTAAAATGAATCCCATTGTATGATATCCTCATCAGCACAGGGGAGACTTTTCTCATGGCAAGTACTTCTGTGTTTGAAAGGTTAGATCTGCAAAGTACACCCTTGATGCTTCCAGCTACCAGATGCTAGAGCCTGCCTTACCTGCCCGGACATGTCGTCTGAATTGAGGTCACAGTTAGGCAAATAACATTCCACACATTTTTCTCCTACTGAATTAAAAGGGGCAGTTTGAGTTTCTCTGGTTCCCATTGGTTAAGAATTCTGACTCAGACATCAAGAGAGCTCTCCAGTGCCAGAATGGAGTGATTGCTACTCACATGACCTGGGTGAGGTGTGAATCCATCTCTCCTACCACTCTGTTCCCCTCCCTGCCCTTTAGCCAGTATGACTCAACACTTGAAAACTAGGCAACCTGACGGTGAATGTTCTACTTGACCTTTGATTTCAGAAGAGTGGCATGACTTCAAATAGTGTTCATTTACTAATTAACAGAGAGGACCGCATTACACAAACTGTGAAGTAAAGTTTGAAACTAAAATTTTAACACAGGAAAGTTTTCATAATTCTCATACATATCCTGACTTCTTTAAGTTTTTACTTTAGATAACATGATTATGATATTTATGTCTTGGGGATTTTTTTTCTTCTTTCCCAAGACTTGCTGACCATTTGATAGTGATTTTTTTTTTGTTTATCAGACACATATATTTATAAAAATCATTAAATAATTACTAATGAAAAGTCTACTTATTTCACAGTTGTGAAGAGATTTCTTTGAAAGATATTACGCCATCAATCATTCCAAGCCTGTGATAATCAGAATATATAAAGAATGACTATGTGTGAGCTGCTCACTTGGGTGTACTCTTTCTCAAGAAGCTAAATAAAGGAGAATGTCATTCTTTGATATACCGATGTTCTTTGACTTACAGGGGAGAGTCTCCTATTTATTAAGACCATCAGATAAATTCAAAGATGCATTTAACACACATACCCTACAGTACACGTCCTAATGTAGCAACATAACTCATGGTGGAATACTGATGACTGTAGATCACAGTTACTGCCCAACACAACAAGGGTATCAAAGAGTGTATTGCAAACCCGGGAAAAGGTCAAAATTCAAAGTAAATTTTATTGAATTT